TTGAGGGGCGGTTGTATGTCCTTTTTCTGCTCTGTAGTAGCCTATGTGATTTGGTGACTTGTGTCCTATGGCTCAAGTAAAGATTGTATGCATGGTCCTTGCATATACATAGTCCTTACAGCGTAGGGGCAATAATGTTACTTGGAGAGTTGTTACAGGAAATTGAAATATAGAGACCTTTCTAAGCTTAGTTTGGATAAATACCCATTACTTCCATGTGGCTCATATGAGTAGCTTGTTCTAGTGGAAGAAACACAACTGAAATATTGTTTAAAAAGGACTGATAAATTTTTATATTGTTAAAATAAAAGTTTCAGGTGAAGAGTGGATTTTTTTGGGTGCTCAAATCTTCCTGAATTATTTGGGAAAGTAGACCTTTAACAGGGATGAGTGGAATCATATTGATKGTCCTTTGTGAATAATTTAAAACTTACCTTTATTTGAACTTWCAGTCAAATAAATCAGCGGAAGAGCAAAATGTATTTTCACATGTATTGGAAAGCAGTATAGTTATGCTTTGTGGATAGCACAATTTGAGGGACAAGTGAAGGGGGAAAGAAATTTCATGCATTCCAGTGATGTATCTGTGGTTGTCCGTGGTTGTCCGTGATCCGGTATACTAATTACCCTCCTTTTCTTTGCCACTCTGTTCTCCAATTGCATCTAGTTTCAAGGTTTTTAGCTACTGACTCTTTGGCATGCTCCATTCATTATTTCAGTTTTGTTCCTAGTGCTGCAGCCTTTTGAATTTTGGCGTTCTGGTGTTTTATCCACCAGAGTAAGTGGTAAGATCTCCTTACTTGTGTGTGGATTTTTTCCCCCTCCTTCCCTATAGGCCATATAAAGAGCTCTTGCTTTTTGTCTGCAAGCTGCAACTTGATTTTTTTGGGGCGCGCTTTCTGTACAGTCTGTCCTTCAGTTTGACTCCACAAAGTCAATATTTTTAAGTCAGGGTTCAGATGCACTCCTGGATGCATCTCCTGCATGTTCATATTTGTGCACAGAGACTCATTATCATTTTTTATTATTATTATTATTATTATTAWTCAGAATCCTCTCTAATGAATTCTTGAAAGCCAAAAGCCAGGAACTTTGCCTGCAAGATAACTCCTTCCTTGTAGGAGGAACTAATGGAAGCCACAGATACCAAGACCGTGAACAAGGAATCTGCTTCGGTTAAAATTGGGGCTTGGTTAAGCAGTCATTGAGGCAGTTGTGCTGCCAGATGATGTTGCAGAGTTAACGTTTCTGCTACTAAACTTCATACACAGAGTACATTTTCTCTTTTTCAGCTTTTATAGAAATAGGAGGAATGTCTGTCTCCAGTAGTTCCATATGTGATTCAAGCATCTTAAAGTCAGGGCTGTCRGAGTAGAGAACTGGTTCTCTTCCTGTATCCAACTGTTTGTCCAACACTGTTCTGAGTGCTTGGRCTGAGTTAAGCGGAGCAAATGGGAAGGTTGCTAAAATTGCATGGGAAATAAGAGTCTTAGAATGTGAGTCCCTCCTAGGAAGATGACTGAAGAAACCATAGAAGAGAACTACTTAACCGTGTTTAATATCTAAAACTTCATTAGAAGCTGCGCATGCTGACTGTTCTGGGTTAATATCTGTCCCGATCGTGTTACACAAAAGTCATTCTCTTAATTTGGACATCTGCAGTCCTATATGTTAGGTCTCACTTGCGAAAGTTATATATGCTTAACTGAACGTGTCATTCCAGCCTAATCTGTACAGTGCACAAACCACCTCATGAAGGAATGAAGAGTGATTTATTAGGCGGGCACTGAGGTGTAAAGGATCATCCTGTAGATAAGGAGACAAGAACAGGTGTAAAGGATATTTTTCTGGTAGGGAGAGGAGTGCAGCTTGTTTGTCAGCCTTTTTTTAAGGATTTTGTACTGTAATTTTAACTGAAAACTGAAAAACTTTGCTACTCGGAGTCTTGAATTTTGGTTTTAAGCCACATTTAATTAGAGGAGAACTTAAGCAGATTGCTTCCTAACTCTGGAGAATACAAATCAGTCATATTAAACTCCTGATTTTTTTTAAAAAACAAACAAACAAAAAACTTCCCCAAAACCTTTAGACTTGCATATTTCTTCTACTTACGAATAAACAACGTTTTCCCTTTTGATTTAATGAGGATTTTGAAGAACTAGCCTATTAGCCTGCAGGTGTAGCCTGGCATCATATCAGCAGTATCACTAGCTAGAGGGTTGCGAGTAAGGTAGCCATCAATTACTGCAGCTTTGGGACTGAAACTGACCACTGAAACTAAAGTCCAAGCTTTTTGACTTTATACTATGGGCCCTGAGTAATTTTATAAAGAGAAATTTTCCAACTACATCATGGTTACTCTTGTCTCTGACTATATTCACCCCTATTCACCCCCTTAAAGAATCATGTATCACCTGTAGTGCTTGATTTAAATAGCAACAGCTTTCCCTTTATCTCCTGCAAAGGGTTAAAGTGACTTGATTTTAATTGGCAAGTAGACTTGTTAATTTTTGAAGTATCCTGATAGTTATGTATGATTTGCTAGAATGGTGTCTGACCTGTCTGTATGCATTTCTAGTTTTGGTACAGATGACATACTGCTAAGGAGGAAGAACAATTTGCAAAGCACAGTTATGTCTGAATAGTGGATACCTAATAATTTACAGAGAGTAGAAGGAAAACTCTTGTGTGTGGTGATGTCTTTTAATTTCCTGTTTTGTTGTTATTTGGTTGTTTTTGCTTCGTTTTTTTCTTCTACAATAGTGAAGAATGTAAAATACACTGCAAAATGTATTTGCCAGAGCATTTTCTGYTTTTTGAGTTTTGAATTATGATGAGATTGTGGAATTATCATGTTTTATTTTATTATACCTTCAACAATGAGAAAGGAGTAGTATTTAGTTTAGATGCTGCTGCTGTAGTGGAATGAATAAAGTCTCTTCTGTCCARTAATTCCTCATTTGATTTATGGCAACAGTCTGTAATCATTTTGATCACTCTGACTTCATTAGAGTTGTATGTGAATATAAAAAGGCCTAAATTATATATATATTTTTTTCCTAGCAACTACCGTAACATGAACCTCCTGTATATGCTTAGGATTCAGAGATGAGACCTAGCCTCTGTTTTGTTGTCTAGATACAGTTTGTGTGCACATCATTATTTTGTGCTTACTTGAGAAGAGACAGAACCTAAGAGCAGCAGTCGGTGTGAGGGGGAAGCAGAGGGTTCTGCTTTTGGCCTCACTCTGGAYGGCTTGAGTTTGTGAGTGGGTTCTGGTTTTGTTAGCAAAGGATATGAGCAAAGGAGAGTATGCTCAGTCCCCACGAATCTCATTTGGATCACTGTTGTGGTGATATCAGATGTAGACATGCTTTGGTGGTTTATCCTAACATATAAAGATATTTCACAAAGGGGTTATAACTGATGGGAGGAGACCTAATCTGAAAAGCTTTAGGGATGATATATATATATTATATAAAATATATATATTTATATATATTATAACATATATATTATTCATATATAAGTGGAGGCATGTCATAATAAAAAACATATTATCAAAAAGTTGTAGTGTTATCACTCAAAACTGATTCAGTGTTCTCTGCGTAAAAGTTATAACCTAAAACAGGTAGTAAATTAAGGGGTGTTTTTTTTTGCTAATAATGTCGCCTAGTTAGGTCTTTAGATAAAATGTTTTTTTTTGCAGTCTCTCTCAATTATTTTTTGTCAGCTATCTTTGCATAGAAAAGCTTGTAGTCTTATTCCATTACACTGTATTGTATAACAGGGATTTGCACATGGTGCGATGCTTCCTGGGGCTGAATTTGCAAGTATGTAAAATGTGTGACCTATTTTGTGTAGGTGTGTGGTTCTTTTTTGTTTTGTTTTTTATGAATGCACAAATAAACTGATGTGGATTAGAAGGGTGGATTGAGTGGTAAGGGTGTGAGAGCTGTCAAGATAAACCAGTCATTTTGTGCTGCCTGCAAATATAATTTTTCATCTCTTGAGTGTAAATATCTCCTACATCACATCCTAATGAACAGAGAAGGAAGAGGAGGGTAGAGAGTGCAGTATGTTGGTCTGGCTTGAATAAAGAAGCATGAATCTGCAGTGCTTGTAACTTTATTTCCAGATTTCCTTCACTTGTCGGGGCAGTTGTTTTTCAGTGAAGCATAAATACATTAAGGTTTTAAGTGAATCTGCAGCACAGACATCTGAGAAGCTTGCTGTGTAATTTAACTGAAAATCTAAGGATGAGCTTTCACAAGATGGCTGAGTCAAAGTAATGGCTTGCTGCTGCCTAAAGGGASAGCTGCTCTGCTCCTTCTGTGTCTTGCTCCTGGTTATCCAGTCTTGCTGTTTTCTTTACTCAGACTCTGACAATCATGACCCTTCAGATCATTTTATCTGTTAATAAGAAATAAATGTGCTTCCCACAATAAGAAAAACTAGTCGGTTCCCCTTCACTTCCCTACCACCATGAAGAAATAAGGAGGTAAGCAGGACTTGGTAGTTGGGAGGCAGGACTTCAGGGAGATTGCTGCTGTCTTGGAAACATTTTGCTCCTTGGCCTAGTAAAGCCAGGGAGCAGGGAACATCACCTTTCAGATGTGGGCTTGTTCAAGTAATCTGAATGAACACTTGTTATGGATAGAAGGGGTTTTGTCAGAGCCATGAATGCTAGTGAAATACAAATTTTTGAAGTGTAGCAGGAGATATATGTATAAAAATTTAKATATAATAAATATTTTTAATAAAATGTATTTTTATTATATATAAGTGTGTGTGTATATATAAAAATATGGAGCACAGTTCAGTTAGTAGCAATGTCCTTGTTTAAATGAAAGCAGAGCAAATTTGAGATGGAATCTTTAGAAACAGTTAAGTCTCCTTTATATCTGCACTTTTTTTCTTGTCATCTTAACACTATGATAGTATATTCCAACATCCGCCTGTTCAACAAATAACCTTAATACTTATCTCTTTTTTTCTAGAACTGAAGGGACGTCATCATGGGAGCATTTTTAGACAAGCCAAAGATGGAGAAGCATAATGCCCAAGGGCAGGGCAACGGGCTTCGTTACGGTCTGAGCAGCATGCAAGGCTGGCGAGTTGAAATGGAGGACGCGCATACGGCTGTGATTGGTTTGCCAAACGGACTGGATGGATGGTCATTTTTTGCTGTATATGATGGGCATGCCGGATCCCAGGTTGCCAAGTACTGCTGTGAGCATTTATTAGATCACATCACAAGCAACCAGGATTTTAAAGGACCAGATGGTCCACCATCTGTGGAGAGTGTAAAGAGCGGCATCAGAACAGGTTTTCTGCAAATCGATGAACATATGAGAGTCATCTCCGAGAAGAAGCATGGCGCAGACAGAAGTGGCTCGACGGCTGTGGGCGTCATGATTTCCCCGCAACATACATACTTCATCAACTGTGGAGACTCGAGAGGTTTACTTTGTAGAAACAGGAAGGTTCACTTCTTCACCCAGGATCACAAACCAAGTAATCCACTGGAGAAAGAGCGCATACAGAATGCAGGGGGCTCTGTAATGATTCAGCGTGTGAACGGTTCCCTTGCTGTGTCAAGGGCGCTGGGGGACTTTGATTACAAATGTGTCCATGGGAAAGGTCCCACAGAGCAACTAGTCTCACCTGAGCCTGAAGTTTATGAAATTGAGAGATCGGAAGAAGACGATCAGTTCATCATACTGGCTTGCGATGGTATCTGGGATGTTATGGGGAACGAAGAACTGTGTGACTTTGTAAGATCCAGGCTTGAAGTCACTGATGACCTTGAGAAAGTTTGCAATGAGATAGTTGACACCTGCTTGTACAAGGTAGCCAGAACTGAGAGGAGAAATTTATTGTGTTTTCACTACTAAAAGCTGATGAACCAGTTAAGAATAAGTTTTGGGTGCAGTCTATGATATGTTTTAATTTGAAAAAAAAAAAAAAAATCAAGATTTCCATTAAAATGGTGTTGGGGAACACCCAAGGTAAACAGTATTGTTTTCTGGGTGTCTTTGGTTGATTAGGAGTTTAAAGTGCTGTAATCACAGGAACCTGATGGAAATCTAAAGCCACACTAAGGACCATCTCTGCTTCACAACATATCTTAAAAAAAACCCTTTAACTCTCAAGTCTTAATTAGACTAGAGAATGATCTTTTCCCTTCCTTACCTTTTCTTTTCTTTTTCCTGTGCCCATAGGCCATTCCTATTTTAGTCGCACCAAAATACATKGTGTAATTGCCGGTGCAGGACTGAAACTTAACGTCATATTTTGCAGTTTAAAATTCTTGACTGTATGAAGATCTGACTTTGTAAGTTAGTTTTTTGTTCTAGTTTAATTACTGTGTTTCTTGTTGAGTGGTCTGTGATACAGCTCTGAAGCAAATTCAAGTAGAAGACAGGACTGTTTTGTATATAAAACCTGGCATTATGTACAATAACTTCCATTAATTTTAATAAATTGTAGAATCATGCAATTATAGAAGAGACTTGAAATACCTATTTTCATAGCTTGTCATTTAATTTTCAAAGGCAAGCTGAGTCATAATGTTTCAAGAAAGCCAATATTTTTGATACTAAAGAGACAAGACAGCATTTCAGCAGTTGACACATGGCTAACAAGGTCATTGCCTCCCTTTTGGAGGAAAAAAGAAAATTCCAGTACTCAAGGAGTTGAAAATGCATTTATCTTTGTTTATAACTTTGTCCGTTTATGGTGAAAATGAATACCAGGGAATGAAAACTGTGTTGCTGATGTTAAAGCCTCCCAATAGCGTCTCCCCATACATACCTGTTTTAATAATTTCTTTGTTCTCTGTCCAGTTTCCTTCAGTGGATTTGATGAATGGTAAAAAGCATATAGATGAATGCAGATTATGGCACTTAATATATTGAAAATAAGCTAGACTGTTACTTTTAATATGTAGAATGTAGTTACATTTCAATATATTTAGATGTTAGGRTTGTGTTTAGCTTGGATTCCTAAAGTTTGTATTTCAGAGCCCTGCGTTTTTGTTTGTTTTGATGCCCAAATGATGCAATTACAAACCAGAGCCGCTTCTAACTGTTCTTTTAGTAAACTCTTGATTCTTTTTTTACAAACAAGCAAACAAAAACCCTCTAGTCAGCAGCAGTTTTTTTTAAGATGGAAACAGTGTCTGAATTGAACAACTGTCTAACTTAAAGTAGTTCAGAATGATTAAACATGCAGATTTGTGGGATTATGCAAGCAAAAAAAGTATTAATATTAATCATTAGGAACAAAAAGTGTAAACTGATGTCGTGTGACAATTTTTTTGTATGTAAACATGCATTGATATCGTTGTAATCTGATGTATATGTGTTCTCAAAATCATCTTTTCTTTTTCACCAGGGAAGTCGAGACAACATGAGCGTGATATTGATCTGTTTTCCGAATGCACCAAAGGTATCACCAGAGGCGGTGAAAAGAGAGGCAGAGTTGGACAAGTACCTGGAAAGCAGAGTAGAAGGTGGATCATTTAAAAAAAAATAAGTAACTTTGAAGTAACTTTGTTTCTAAACAGATCCCTTATCCCCCTTGAAACAACTAAACTCTTAACCCAAACAGGCTTCCTAATAAACCTTCAAGTGCCATTGGCCATCTAGTGTACATCTCTGAAAAAGGCACATGTGCACCCCTGCTCTATGCCTCATAAATTCTGCTATGAAAGTGCAGAAGCCTTTAGCCCTGAAGATTGTTCAGGGTGGCAGAGAAAAAAAAAAAAAAAAGGTGCTCAGTGTTATTCATTGACAGCATTAACTTCGGACCAGGAAACCCTGGTTCCTGTCATACGGAGTTAAATGAAATATTAGAATATCTGGCAACATGCTTGTGAAGATGGCAAAATAGTATTATACCGTAATATTACAGTAATGTGGTTACTGAAGAGTTGCAGCTTAGTTTACAGTCATCTTAAGGGCAACTGCCAACATACATACTTGCTTAAAAATACTTCAGAAATTTGTCAAAGCTCATCTTTTGGCATACATGATGAAGCAAACTGAGAACACATCTTACTCTAACTTCAAAAATTTGATTAAATTTGTATTTCTGCAGTTCTTAAACTTTCAATGTAAACTTCGAATCTTAGGCATTTTCAATCTCCCAACAGAAATGATATTTCAAATCAGTTTGATTTTTTTCATTGACACTGGATTATAGTGCCTTTAGATGTTTAAAAAATGAACACAGTTTGGAATTTGTTCTGAAACGTAAGACACTGTATGTGTTGTTTGCGTAGGTTAAGTCTGTTTTTGAAGTGAACTTCTCCAAACCTATATGTTACAAGTCTAGTCACCTGTATACACTCCAAGAATCCTTAGTAGCATGCAGGGCATGATACACAGAGTTCTTACCCAGCTTCCTTCCAGCCTTCAGTGAGTTGCAGGAATATCTTGTGCGCTTTTTCCTCTGTAACTTACTTGAAGATAAAAGAGAAAGAAACTTCAAAGACTTTGCAAAGAACTTGCCTGTGTGAGAACTGTGGCTTCAGACAAATGTGCATTATGAAGCATTTAAGACCCATGTAGATGCTTCTTCAGAAAGTGCCACATTTTCAAAAGCAACATTCCCAAGGTCTCCGTGAACCACGGTGGTTTTGCTTGAATAAATGTCTAGACAGAGCATTTAAGTATTTTCAATCACCACTTGCCCAGGTGGGAAAGTTGATGCACAGTAAGCTATGATGAATTGTTTTGACACTATGTAGCAAGGGCTTCCACACGCATGGTGACACTGTGTGAGTTAAGTGTAGGTGCCTTTCTCCATTTCCAAGCAGCGAGCAGCTTTGAAGAGCTCATTGTATGTGCCCACTCACAAAATTGGTGGCAAACAACTATGCTGTAAGTCCCCGTGTTAATTTATACCAGCCAGTTCTCCTATGTTGACAAGTGTTGCCTTCACATCTTGTTTTAGCTCAATTCAGACAAACCCCCTGACATGGAATATGAGGATGTGTTTGAGTTAAGGTTGCATCTTCAGCTGGCCCCACTGGCCTAGATATATTACAGGAAGGAGAGAGAACTGTTTTGTGCAGACACTTCAGTGAATAAAGAACACATTGGAGCTGCATGTCATTATSGTACACATAGTAGTGACTTTGCCAATATGTTGTGTTTCAGGAATGCAACGTATTGGCAGAATTTCAGAAATGAACAAAATGTCATAATTGTACAGCGGCAGAAGAATCCTATATATAGTTAAAAGCACTTTAATGCTAATTTAATGGGATGATGACTAAACAATTTCTGAAAATATGTTGTACTTCCTCTCAAAGGTCAATACTCATTTTAGTTGCCCTCAATCTTTTGCCCAGTGTTGCACAAAGCTATTTAAATTTATGAGTGTGTGGTAAACACTATTCAACGTAACTGATTTATATCAGCTATATGCAGAAAGATCATTCTTGGTCTTGTAGCTCTTACTGATGAGGAAAGCTGAAAGGCTGAACTAAAGTAAAATTGCAAGTGCAAGTGTTGACTGACTTTTATATTTAACTTAATCATTCTTATGCAAGTAAATTGTTCCATGCTGTAAATGGATTATGCAGTAATAGCTAGTAAGGTAGAAGTGTCATAATATCTGAAATTATAACACTACAGTGAATAATCTTAATATTATCTTAAGATGCTTAAGGAATGACAGGGATAAATTTTAAAAGGCTAATTTTTAGCTAAAAGAGCTAGAAAATGGAAAGATTACTTTTAGACTATATYTAGTATCAAGTTAAAATAGGTTAAAACTGAATCTTGATGAAAATGCATATTATGTACATGTTATGCACTTCGGTACTCAGTCTAGTCCAACAGGTAATGATATTTGATGATTACTAATGTGTGTTTTTTCCTGGTTAATAGGAGTACTTTTCCCTCAGCCCAGGATACATCCTTATACTGTTAACAAGTACTGAGATTAAGATTGAAAAGGGCTTAGTACTAATGTTACCTGAACAATGAAAGGTGGCTCAGATGAGAAGAAAAATAAAAGCATAGCAAGTTTTCTACTTACCATGTTACCCAGGACTCTCCTTTTGTTATCTTGATCCATTAGTGGTCCAGATTCATATCTGCAGTAGATAATGATAGACAAAGCAAGTGTGGAGGAGCCTCTTTGTGCCATTTACTTGCAATAAATAAGTGTTACTCYTAAAATGTCTTGTGAACTTCCACATAGAAGTAACCAGTCATTCCAGAATAYATTGCTGCTATTTGCACTATGTGAGTTACCAATATGTTGACTCTTAAAAACTTGACTAAGTGTCTTGTTCCGTTCTCAATTTTTTACCTATAAACACTCAGTAGATTATCTTTGCAATATTTATATCTTTAAAGAGATAAATAATTTTAAGTTAGCTAATATATGTTCCTTCCCATATTTTCACAAAATCTAAAACTTTGGCTTTTAGTTAAACGTTGTATAGAATTCCCATTTGGAATATGAAGTCAGTAGATATGTTTTGAGTCCTTTACTTTAGGGTTGTAAGTATGTTTTTCCATTTCTTGATGCCATGAAATTGTGTAGAAGGTTTAAAAACAAATTAAAAGGAGGTTAACAAAGATGTATTGACGAAAGACAATTCAAATAAATTAAAAAGAGCTAGCAGACCRACTCCATTTGTTTTCGTCAGTGTTCATTGAGTCTGTATCTATAGTTCTATCAAGTTATAAATGTATTAACTTAGTGGAGATTGTATGTTATATGTACTGCAGTTACAGGTTGTGAAACTGTGTAGCATAGGTAAACTATAAATTCCTTATTTTTGTACAGCAGAACTCTAGATCTAGCACAATGTAGAATATACTAGATGTTCAAAATTGCACAATAAAGGAATTTGGCAAACCAAATCTGAGATCTTTGCTTCTTATTCAGATTTAAGAGTGTTAGATTGCTTACTAAATGCTAGATGGTGAATGCTAGTGAATTTTGGCCACAGGCTTTGAGGAAATGGCAAGTTTCTAAGGTATCTAAGGTGTGTGGTCTCATGTATTGCAAATAACTTAAGCTGCCTTGCAAAACTGAGTTGATTCTTCTCGTAAACAAGTGCGGCCCYGAAAAATTATTGTATGCACAAAAAAATAATTCATGGATTTCATGTTTTTGTTTTTTAATTTAAAAGGACTGGACATACTTTGGCTTTAGAAGCTTTTATTGTGCCCTATCTCACTTATTGAATTATGAAGCGGAGACTCGGTGCACTGTTTTCTGTCAYTTACAGTAAAAACTGAATGCCAAGATACCTTTTTTTCAAAAGTGGGTTCTGTTGAATTCCAGCTACTCTTGAACTTGCATAAATGCTTTACTSCATGAGGAATAGTGAGTGTGTKWGTGTATATGTACACATTTCTGTATATGTGCTGCAGTATTCACTTGAAAATCCAKACCTCCAARTCTTAATTTGTATCTCTTATAGTCCTGATTTCACAGTTCACATAGAAATTGAGATACATTTAAAAAAAACACTTGTTCTTTAAATAGAGATCTCATAAAACTTGGAGTGACCATTCAGGGGTGGTTAAGATCTAAAAGYTCTTTTTGGGTTTATTTACTACTTCAGAAGGCTAGGCCTAAGGTTAAAGCTAAAGGAGTAGTTTCATAGCAGGACCTGAATGTGGCTACAGTACAAATTCTCATTAATCAGAAGTTGGGATGGATCAGTTTTAAATAACTACCCAATGATCACATACCCTCTAAATGAGTTAATGGTGGAGCTGTCACTTAAATCTGTCCATGGCATTTAATTTGTACATTAATTTTTAATGTTTACGTGTTATGCAGTGAAATGCAAATATTTGTACATGCAGCTGTGGGAATTATTTTTAATATATTTAAACTTTTGTTACTTCTGAATATAATTCAAATCGCTATTGCAGTGTTAAGGCTGATGTTAATATTTACSTCCTGCTCAGTGTGTTTTATTGGGAAGATATAATAATGATATAGCAGTAAATCCATTAAAGAAATAATTTCCACTTTTATTAGGTTGTTATGTATTCTGAAATCGGTGTGCATGTTAACAGTTTGCAGGGTATTTTATCCATTGCACGTTCCTATGGTACCAAAGTTAGTTGACCCTTTACCATGTTGAATATGGTCTGTAATTTTTTTTTGTATTAAAGTTAAGCTGCCTTTTTTTATAAAACTGAGTGTTTCAATCTTTTAAATTTGGACTGCACTTACAAAAAAAGTACTTCTGATTCCCAGAGATCATAAAGAAGCAGGGTGAAGGAGTCCCAGACTTAGTCCACGTGATGCGTACGTTAGCAACTGAGAGCATCCCAAACCTCCCGCCAGGGGGTGAATTGGCGAGCAAGTGAGTTCACATCGGTGTCAATGTGGTTTGTGATTTCAATGAAAACTTAATGTTAAGGCCACTCTTAAAAGTGAGGGGAGGGARGGGAGGGTTCAGGACCGAGTGATTTGTTCTGCAGTTTTCATTCCTGACTTTTTCTCTCTGAAAAGGAGAAGCACAAGAACAAAGTGAACTATGGATCACTGCTAAAACTAACTGTCAAGCTACAGTTGTGGAAAGACCGAGGGTTTTTTTTTTAAGGGTGGCCTAAGTGTCTGTTCTTTGTACTTAACTGGATTTTCTGTGTCACAGGTTTATGTTTGAAGATGCAAAAATAATACAGTGACTTTAGTAGTAATTTGATAAATAATACCATACTTTGTCAAGAAGTGATATGCATTTCATGTTTTGCTTGGCAACTTTCTATTCTCGTCTGCAGCTAAGGCAATTTTGCAATTYCTAAAATGTTTGCTTTTTTTCCTCTCTGTGCTTGTGACAAATCTGAAAAAAGGATAAAGTCTATCAAAAAAGATAGGTGAGATATTATATTTATAACTCAGTATAGGCTGGCTCCCTCTGAGGAAGAGTTTAATAGTGGTGCTGTCTGGACTCTGATGCTCAACCTTTGAGGARGCAGTATGTGCTCTCTGCACAGCAATCAAAGTTCATTTTGGACTGAAAGATTCTTCACAAATCTATAYTATTTTAAAATGGATTGAACATACATGCCATGGGCTATATTTTTAATGCTTCAAAGCCCAGTTTTTGTATCGCTGTGCTGAAACATGAAAAGTCTAGGTATCTAATGGAGGAAGCAGTGACTGAACCTTAAGGATGACATACAGAGGAACTGTTTCAGTTGGAAAAAGAGGATGGCAGTTTTACATGCAGTACTAGTATTCATTGAGGATATGTTTTTGTCATCCTGAAATACCAGTACACCAGTTATTCATAAAACACGGCATGTGCACACAGATTGCTTATCGTAATCTCCTTTGGCTAGTGGTAACATCAAGGGAAGGTGCTGAGGCCCCTGAAGTGACCGGCTTCAGTAGGATTATGTGCTTAAGTGAGGCTGGCTCGAAGAGGGATCCACAGAAGTGTGGGTTTAATTGGGTGTTAGCAGCACTGCCAGTTTGGAGGGACGACGCTTCTCCAGAAATTTGCCTTTGTTTAATATCAAAGACAGCTATTGCTGAAAGATCAGAGAAACTCTTTAAGTTTGTACGTGCCACATCCTTCGTGCGTAATTGCTTCGTTTTACTGCTTTCAATTTCGCCTGTTTTTCTGTGCCATGTAATCATTCGCTGGAGCTATGATATTTATACTGCTGCATGGTAGTATCTGACTCCTCAGTGTGTATTTACTGGATGATTATACAGCCTCTCATCTGCTTTTCTTCTGCTACTGCCCTCCACTGCGACTCCCCTGCATGTGTTCATGAGCAGCTCAAATATTCTTTGAAGCTTGTTTTGCATTGCAGTTGTAGGCAGTTACTTTGTCATATTTGGTTCTGCAAAGAGGGGATCTGGAAGAAAGTTATTTTTAAAGTCAAGTTTATACATCCTGTCTCCTACTCCCTTCTTTCCTTCCTGTTCCCACTCCAAAGTTTATTTCTCATGTTCTAGGTAAGGCAAAGGCTTCCTTTTCCTCTCTCTGCCACTTTTTTAATATTAAAAATACATTTAAAAAAAAAAAAAAACCTTTTACCTTATAGAAACAGCTCATGTTGTCTGTTTATCTGTTGTTTCCTCTCTTAATATTTTTTTCCTAGATTAACCAGGAATTCAAAAGATGAAAGTATTGATCACACATGATTTTAAATATGCTATATTAAAAAAAAAAAAAAAAAGATTTGCTTCTCAGAATGAAGATAAAGTGCATATAAAGCTGCCATTTCCAGTTTTAATTTCTTCAGGAGAAAAGTTACAGGAGAATCACAAGCATGTTATTGGAAACCAGTATTGCTTAAAAAAGAAAGAAAAAACTTTACCGGCTTCATAAATAACTCTATGAGGATTTTAATAGAAAGTACATTAAAGAATTTAATAAGAACAAAGCTGTACTTTAGACTGCACTGTTAAGGCATCCAGAAAACACCAAAGCTGATACTCCTCTCTGAAAGTGTCCTGATATATTAAGTGCTGCTGCAGTATTTGTCCAGCACACAAATGAGCAGAACATTCGAATTGAATTGTGTTCCCTAATGCCCCTTTCAAAGGCTGGGACACATCAGCAAAAGAAAACCCTGCAGCCTGGTCTGAATGTCAGGTTCTGCTGTTCTTGCTGAACTCTGACCACTATTCAGCCTTGCTTTTTCTTGAATCTAAAGGTTTTGAAGAACGAGGTGGCTGTGTTTCTGTGCTTAATAAGACCTAACTTGCAGTAAACTTGGTTCTTGAATTAATAACTCTTAAATTTGCAACTTAAATAACAATTATACTTCAAGTATTTGACTTGAGTGGGAGGAAAAAAGACATGGTCTTAAAATCTTGTATTTTTTTTGATCTAGACGGAGTGTGATTGAAGCTGTTTATAACAGACTGAACCCCTACAGGAACGATGATACTGTAAGTATCTTTTCTCCTTCATTCTCACCCTGCCCCAATAATTTTTGTGCAGAAATGTATTGCTGATCATACTCCCTCTAATCCCTAATGTCTTCCCCTAAAGAGAAGTAATATAAAAGTTATGTTCTTTAGATTATACCTTGTGACTGTTTCCTGATACCTTCTGCTGGTTGCAGCCTGAAAACCCCAGTGGAGTGGGGTTTTTTTTGTCTTCTGCAGTTCCTTAACTTGAATCCTCTCTAGGTTTCCATATGCTCTTCTGTCAAATGGTGCCAGGAATCTCATGTATTTTTCTTGTTGGGGAGACTTCTTTTCCCCCCCATTACCAGTAAGGAAAGTAAAATATTTGTAGATTGATTAATTTTATGACTTTTTATGACTATCATTTTATATGGTATATTCATCTTTCAAACAATGCATAAATACTTTCTCAGTACTAACCATGGTTCGCCTTATAGCATGCATACAGTTTAGGTTCTTTTGATATGTCAATGATTAAACTGTTAGGTACATCCACTGGTTCACTTACATATCAGCAGGAGGAAAAAAAAAGAAGGCACTCTAAAACATGAGTAGTAATCCTAGTTGCAATTAAATCACTGAGCAAATGTTCAGTTATTGAAAGTGCAGGACTCTTAACTACTTAAAACTACATTTTAACTATAAAATGATCCTTTACTATCAGCAAAAATGATTTGCATTCYTAGCTGTGACACAGAAGTGAAATGTCCAGGCGTATATATGGATTGTGCATTGGCTTTACAGCTGGCTGCTATGGTTTGGTGGTTTCATTTACRATACCTTTAGCATAACTAAAGCATAACTCCTAGCTACTGCCTGAGAAAGGATGCTCTGCATTCACATACGCACTATAGTGTGTTGCTCTTCTGCAAATACACAGTCCCCAAACTTCTGCGTTTTGTGCTGATGTTGGCAGCTTGGTACAGGAAATTGCAGGCTGAATGGTTGGCACGCAGCTTCTGCGTTTTTTATTGACTACTGTTTTTATTCCTCATYCTTGCACTTGAAACAAACACTCCTTTAACTGCTCTACTTGGCTACTTTTTTCTCCAGGGGAGAAACTGGAGGATGATGCACTTGCAAAGGCTGATTTTAGTGGTGTATTCTTTAAAAATAAATTTATATATATATGCCTCCATGCTAACTAACTACTTTCTGACTTGCAGTGAACTGTTGTTTGTGCAAGTCTGAACTGAGGATGCAGAATTTTAATGCTAAGAAATTGTCATATGTGGCATTGCTAGAGACATAATTAGCTTCTTCCCCTCAAAGCAATCGGCGAGGCAGTGCCTTTAAACAAGAGGAATAATATTCCTTTATTCCCTATATTTTTGCTAATGGCAGGGARGCTCAGCAGGAAAGCAGCAGCCTGGCCCATGGGTGAAGCTCCTCATGGKTTTTAATGGCAGGTAGCGATGCTGAAGGAAGCAGCCTGGTGCATGAACAGTCTGTCCTGGTGTCCGTGCTCCCAGCTCAGCTGTTGCTCGAGCTGTTGCTGCAGTTGTACCTCTTGGTTGTGGCAGCATCATCTGTGCCCAGCTGATGGAATGGATGAGGCAGGTGCAAAATGCTGGATGTGGAACATCCTGGGCAAGGGAGAAAATGGACCCAGAGGCAAATGTGTTYAAAAAGCACTGGCCAGAACTTAACTTGCAACTTTGCACTAGTTTTTCTTTATTAATCAGGTAACAGAAATCACGAGTTAAATGTTCTTCATTGTCAAACTATTGTCTGGAGGCATAAATGAGCCAAAATTGCAGATACTCGGGGACTGAATGTGTAGATGTGATGCCATGCTATGTAGCRCCACCATTATGATTTAAAGCACTCTGTTTCTGATTTTTTCTTATGTAAATTTTTTTCCTCTTTGTAACTTGAAGTTCAAAAGTAGGGTTTAGTTTACTATTGAGCCTTCTAATTATAAATGTTTAAAATAGATCTGAGTTATAACAGGGTGCAAGTTGAAGGGCTGGAAACATAAAAGGTAGTAATGGTAATAGATGAACAGGGAGTGCTTCATGCCMTCTGTTTTCTGACTTACCTGTGTAGTAAGTTTATCTGTGTTGCCTCAGACTACCCTGAAAATCCTTTTGAATACTGTTCTTAGGTTGTTATTTTGAGAGTCATTAAACCATTTTATTAAAACACTCAGGCCTCATTTAAAAATGTCCTTAAAACTTCATTCATTTGTTAAAAATTTGCATTTTTCCTGTATACTTCTTAAATGTTATTTGTGAAAAAACTTCTGAAATTACGCCAGTCTTCACCCTTTTCAGTCTGGATTGTCCAGAAGTTGCTGTAACTGTGGGCACTCCAGACTTTAAAGGGCTCCTTCTTTTTTCTTTAAGGACTCTGCATCAACTGATGATATGTGGTAAAACTGCTCATCTAGCTGCGGAGTTCACCTTTCGTCCCTCACATGAGAGAGCAGCCCAACCTCAGTTACCCTTCTTAAGATCCATCCTCAACCTTAATTAAAGAAGGGAATGTGATGTGTTGGTGAGAGTGACTACAGCAGAAAACTACAGCAGTACAACGTCTAGCCCAGGAACTGATCCTTTTTTTTTTTTTTTTTTTTTTGTAAAACAGACTTCTGTAAACGTGATTTCGAACCATAATTCATGTTGTAAATCAGACTCCAGCAATTTATGTTGTATGATTTTGTTTTTGTAAAGTGCAATTGTCTTTGTACAAAATGCTCATATTTAATTATGAACTGCTTTAAATCACTATAAAGGTTAGAAGAAATGTTTGGCTTGTGTGATGCAACAGTATATGTCCCATTAAATTCATGTTGTGGTTTTGGATTGCAAGGAGCAGCAGCCTAGCCAGCTAGGTGCTCAAGAGGTGCACAAAACTAAAAATGATTTTGTTTGATATGAAAGCTGAATTTGGGGGTAATTTATCAGAAATTACAGGGTGTGAATTTGCTTGGCAATGGGAAAGAGTAGTGCACATTCTTCAGCAAATCTCTCTCTTGAGGCCACTCCTGCTCTGACACTGAGCTRAAGGGAGCTCTGATTTTGACTTCAGTGGGAGTTGAATCATGCCCTATTAATAGCATCATGCGTTCATTCGCATATGAACCTTGGGATTAGAATGCCTGGATTCTCTGCACCTCTTTTTTTCATTAACCCTTGCCTGAATTACTAATCACTGAGCACGAACAGGTAACTTCCTACATGTCGTAGGAACCTGCAGCATTTCTACAATCCTGAGTGGCTGGGTCTGCTGCTGTTCCGAGGAAAATGCCCTGAATTCCATTTTATCAATAAAGCTTGATTTAACAAACAAGAAATTTATCCATAAATGTGTAATTCCTTTTTTTTTCTGCCTTTTAAAACATCAGTGCCATCATAAATGATATTTTACACATGGAAAAAATAWTTTTATTAATTGGTAACCCATTTTTAAAATGGGAGGAATTTTGATTATTTCCCAAGACACAGCCATTGCTAAAGGATGACATGGGAGTGATCTGTTATGCTGTTTTTTTCACCTGTGTGGTTTTTTTTCAGGCTTCTTGTTTTCCCTCCCCACTGAAGATATGCATTGGTTTGAATTTGCCTACTGTTTGATAAAAATACATTTGTCAAAGCCTGACAATCTTTAACATTTTATGGTGTGTGTTTTTAATTGACCCACTTACTTAGGATGAGAGACTAGTGGTTAAACAGTACTTGTGATTTGAAATAGAGCATGTTGATAATATTTAACTGTTCGTTGTTTAAAATTCTGATTTAAAATTCTTAAAGGTAATAAACTAATTTGATTTTTAACTTACCTTTCTCCCACTGAACATACAAAATTTAAGTTTTCAAGTCAGTCGTGTTTGCAAAACTACTGTTTTGTGCACCTTGTGTTGTCTTTTTTTGGTTGAGAATATTGTATTTAATATGTAGTTCACTTTATTCATTTAGTAGGCAGATTCCCCAAATGGAAAATCAGTAAAACAAGTAGATTGTAACATTTACTGCAGTTAAACAGAATCAAAACTTGGTGTATAATTACTTTTTGATAGGAAAATGTAGTACCATGCATTTTGCTATATTTGTCTTTCCCTAACTTTGAAATATACATATTTGTATATATAGCCTTAAAACTAATGCAGAGTTAGGGAACTCTGAACAGTGAAAAAGTAACTTATAGTGTCTTGGAACTAAGTATAGTACATACCAGCAAACTTTTCTTTTATCCCTCTTGTCTGTGTGGGGTGCTTAACGTAACTTCATTGTATTCGGTTTGTAACCTGTTCAAGCATGAATGAAGACAACATAAGCACTATTTGTATTTATAAATTCATAGCAATTTTTGCTTAAAGGAACCAACTCCTTACCTACATATGAATAAATGCTTAAAATGTCTAATTTTGTTGTAGAGTGCAAAACTATGGTAATGTTAAGTTATAGCTTCACAGGCACCTAATTAACGAGCATATTTAATACATGGCGTATTAGTACAAAAAAGCTAAATTTAGGACTAGGCAGGTAAAGTTTTGTCCTCTTTTTTCGTGTAGGTGAAAGTTTAGTTTTGGAAACTGCAAAACCTGGAGCTGGACTRTGGAAAGTTTGAGTTAAAACTTGTAAACGTCGCAAGTGGAGCTGGTGCGGAAAGCCATACTTAAAACTGTAATCACTTAAACTCTCAGTGACACATGCTGTGTTGGAAGCCTCTTTGTATGAGGTCTTAAAGATTATAAAGAAAGTAACTCTTCTGCTATGGCCACAAGCGCTGTGAGTAGGCTGGAGGGTAGGAGGAGAAAGGCCATTTCAGTTCTTTCTTCTGCTTGTGTTCAGTGTTTTGAGGAGTTCAGAGCACTGAAACTCTTGTGTATGCATAAACACTGCCATTTTAGATACAGATTTTGATGACAAAATATATGAATTAAGTTTATAAAGCATCCTAGAAAAGAGACAAACTGTACTTTTCACTGCTCTGAAAAGAAAAAGGCACTTTTGCACCTTTGTGCATCTCCTTCTTGCACCAGAAACTTTTTTTTAATGCTAAAAACATTAGCACCTCAGGGGCAAGGCAGCAATTTTTTTGACGTGTTGTGTGCTATTTATTTCCCTCTTGGAAAGAGATCCGTGTGTGACAAAAATGAAAAATGTGTGATGTTCAAAGATGTATTTTTAAGTACATGTTCAAATAGGATRATCCCAATTTGCTTGTTTTTTAAAAGGAAATGATACTTGTAAAGCTCCTTTGGTTCATATGCCGTGCAAGATTCTGTTTTCCTTTTACAGCTTCACTGCTTTCAGTTTCTGTGAGTTTTGTTATAGTCAGATTAAATGTTTTGCTGATCATTCTGGGGAAAATACCTGTACTGCTTTATAGACAACTGTTCAAACTATTCTCGCTAATTCAGCATTGAAATGTGTTCAAGACAGAGGCTTTTAAAACKTATTTTAAAAGTTGTTGGATTAACTCAATGTAATTGCAATAAGTTTGAGATTTGCCAGACTTCTCAAGTCCTTTGTGGCAGTAGGGTCCTATTACACATGATGGGGCAGAAGGCTGTTGCAAAGCCAGGGACTTTCATTTGGCTTTTCTGTCTCTTTGGGGCCATACTGCTGCAAAGGACTTGGGGCTTGGCCATCGTTCCTTTTGATCTTCTTCAAAAGTCAGAAATGGAAAGAGAATTTGCATCTTCCTGGCATTAAATTATGCTGAATTCTAGTAATCCTATGATGTCTCATACCAGCAAGATGCCTGAAGAATATTAACCAAGAGATGAGGAGTTATAGCACTTTACTGCKATAGTTCATGTAGGTTCCAATGCTAACCCTTTTAAAATATGCTTAGAATACTGACACTTATAAAATATCCATTAGAAGGGTTTTATTGCCATCTACATAGATTAACACCTGGAGCATTTCACTCAGGTCAAGAATGGGGGAGTTAGCAATCTAATAAAAGCAGTTTTCATTGCAGCTAATTTTCTGGTAAGGGTCTCAATTTGTTACACTGGGATAGGATAGACTGCCCGTTGCATTGTAATTTTTAATACTTTATGGACAAAGGATGCTGTTTCATAGTGAGTTAATATTAAGCCTGACCTCTTTCTGTAAGTCTTCTCCTACTGCCTCTGTCATGCTGGCAATAGTGCGTTTGTGGCCGTGAAGTTAGGAACAACAAAGCTACTCCTCAGCTGGATAAACTGATAATCCAGCTACCTAACAGCAGTACCAGGGTAAGATGCAGGGTGAGAGGAGAGCCCGGAGAGCCAGGGAAGGGTCRTCTCCTGCTTTGGGCACAGTCTGGGAACCCACACCTTAAGTTCAGATTATCAATTGACTTGTGCAAGGTGGGATCAATGCCTTTGCTTGCAGAAAAACAGGCCTCAGAAAAACATTTTGCTTTGGTAAACATTATGTTTCTTATAACTGGCATCGTGAAATGTTGGGTTTAATGTCTTTTACAGAAGTTCCATGCTGACAAACTTGCCTTTTGTTAGCTCTACTGATAGAGGCAGCTCTGTCTTAAGACAATGACAGCAGAGSTGCTGTGATTAGGTTAGTGAAAAGGCTGTTTTGGTTTACCTCTTCCAACACATGTCAGCGTTTCAACCTAAGTTGTTTGGTTGTTTAATCTTTACTTGCCACCTTCCTGAATTTTTGTGCACACTGGACTTGGTTTATTTAACTTTCTAGATATTTAAGCCTAGCATGTCTGTAATCGGCTAACCACTGAGTAAAACGTTAYCTTTCATCATTGGAAACTACAGTAATAAAAGCTGAGGTTCCTTAGGTTAAGAAACAGCRAAATGTGTAGAGCGGTATCTGGTACTGTTCTCTGCAGAAAATGGAATCATTCTGTGCCAGGCTTCCTTAGGTGTGAAAATAGCATCTTCTGGGTGACTAATAGAGCTGCTGGTGTCYGAGATAATGATAACATGAGCCTTGACATACCAGTACAGGAACGCGAAGTCTCTGGATGGATAGAGATTTAATTCTTTAATTGATAAAAAGAGGCTTCATGCACGTGGATTTCCAGGATATTCTAGTGCCCGAAACGAATGTTCTTTTGGCTGTGAACCACAAAACCACTGTAAAAACTGAGCAGATTTTGAAAGTAGAATCTAAGCTAAGTCTCTTTTACTGACTAGCATGTAGAACATTGCTCAAAGTACCTGAGCTTAAATTGCAGGAAAACTGTTAAAACTTTACATTCATGGTGCTTGTAAATGGAGAAGGGGCACACAGAATGCTAGAAATTGAATTTACTTATTCTCCCATTGGAAAACTTCCAGAGAAAGCTAGGTATTTCTACTGYTTTAATATGTGAAAAAAGCCAGGTAGTATAATCTGATAGTGTCAAAGTTGTAGACCTTCAGTGAACTGGATTTTATGGATAAAACCTATCCTGGGTTTTCTTAATTTTATTTGAGGTTCTGTTTGACCAACTATAAAGCACTTTTTCCATTGTGTTGACACTGTACTAAGGTCCTTTCTTCCAAGCTATAAGACTATAGAGTGGTGGCGGTGTTCCAGAAAATGAGTTTCTAGGAGGTGCCTGGCTTTAAGTATGATAGAAAAAGCCTAGCCCTTGCAATCAGAAAATTTGAGAAAGTGGGCTTAATTTAAAAAAATGCCTTTTATAAGAATGATGAAACAATTCTATCCTGAAAGAGTTGAAACTTGAGTAGAGGTGGGAAAATAGCTCCAATATCTMGAGTATTTGTTGGTTTACATATAGCCAGATTTTCACATTTAACTCAATTTGATTACTACCGGAATACTTTTTAAAATATTACTAGACATCTTTTTTCTTTTTKTTAATAAAACCAAGGGTGCTTATTACTGCATAACGAGTAATTTATTTGCAAGAGCAAATGTTATGTCAGGTAGTCCTCTAAGAGCACTGCCTCTGTAGTTCTCAAGTTACTTGATGACGTTGAGCCAAAACTGAAATTAATTTTTGCCTCCATTGGTCATATAGCTCTGAAGAACTGGTGGATGCATGTTTATTTTCACAGCTAAAATAGACAGGACTCTCAATACGTATTGTGAGTGAGCCTCCAGAGYGAAGGAGTTGCCATTATTTCTTTTGAGAAGCCATATTTTGTAAAGAGAATGGATAAAACTGAGCCTGGAAATTGCAAATCATGATCRTACTTATGTCAGTGCCTGTAGACTGAGCTCTGCAGGCCTTAATTTTAATATCTGCTGAAGCCACCTCGGTTTGAGCAATGGAAATACAAGCAGCCAATTTCAATTTCCCTGTTGGGATCTGGAACCAGATCATGGCATTTGTGCTCAGAGGAGAAAACTGAAGTAAAATGATCCTGAGATACACAGGCTTATGTTTAACTTCGCATGCTACGGAGCTGATGGAGCTTCACTCACAATRTATAAAGTTTGTACATGTATAGCTGGAGAGCTACTGGTCTTATTTTTGTGATCTACTCAGTTTTGGCTTTGAAAAGACTATGGGTGGCTGTAGGGCTAGAAAGTTGTATTGTTAAAGCAAAATATTAGCTTAGTGGAAAATAACAATTTCCTAATTCTTTAAATATGTAAGTCAGCATTATTTTTATTTGAAAGCATTGAACACAGTTTATGAATTGAATTCTTTCATGTGGTGCTTTTAACTTAAATGGATACAAAGGAACTCCAGTTAAATTACCTGGGATGGGGAAGTAATGAGGCCCTAAGAGTTTAGGAATAATGTTTTGAATTTATGTAGCGTTGTTTCCATGTCCAGTCCTGGACCTCTGGGAAAGACCTGTATGTTTAGAGAACTGTTATCCATGTTGAGCATTGAGTGCTACACTGTCAAGTTTGCTGCATTTTGCAACTTTTGGGCTTTTCAGTGGGAAACTGGGCATTATACAGTAGGGTCCCTGGTACCTGGAACRCTGCCATACCCAATCCCAAACCTTTGGCTGGCAAACACCATGTTTGATGCGGGAAGTTGGGATTCCCGAGCGTACATTTTAGCACTGATACTGGAATTCACCATAACCTTGAGTACCAAAAGTTGTATTTATTAACTAGAACTAACTCTTTGGTGCCAGGAATCTAGTTTCCAGGAGAAGTGCTAAATTGTTCAAATGTTCGTGTCAAATAGTGTCAGATAGGTCAGTGGGTAAGAAACTAAACCACCAGTGACAAAGGGTTAATAAGTGACAAAAGCTGAAATTCTCTTAACCAGTACTGGTAGGTGCAAAGCGTGAAGTGGGGTGTGATTTCCAGACCTGGCTGCTTTAGAAATCTTCCAAAGCAGAGATTTGGGGGTCTAGCATCTGTCTTGTTACTGAGACCATGTACGAACATGCTGAATTAGAGAGTTTTCACCTGTCTCCTCACAGAATTGACTCCACGTGGTATCATCAGACAAATCTCATTTGTAGTGACATGCTGTGCCTGTCCTTTTAGAAAGTTCTTGACCTCTTTATATCTATTTTGTGGAAAGTGTAACTTTTTCATTGATAACCTGTATAAATGTGTGTTACGAATGGAGAGATTTAAGCTTGAAAAGCATGTTTGCAGACTACACAGCTTCATTATGGAATTTATAAATTTAACAGAGTAATATACAAGAGCATAACTATTTTCCTTAAGTAGAATGTATAACAATATATAATAAATTATTCTCCACGTAGTTCACCCACTCTTTACAGTTTTACACAATTCAAACTGTGTGTTTACAGAAAATTCAAT